TTCACTTGTTTGGTTTTCTTATCATGTTCTCCGTGTGTTTGTCGTATCATCATTATTCACCGTGCGTTGGAGACGCCCATGGCCAGGCTACTGCGGCGGAAGAACGGTGGGGCCGTTGGGCTTCGCCGGACAGCTGAAAAGGCGATCGGAGGAGAAGGAGGAGGACGAGGAGGTGGAGGACGAGGGCGAGGAGGATGATGAGGAGGAATGGCGAAAACGTAGCAGATCGCAGCCGCCCGTAGGGTGGGGGGGGAAGAAGAGGAGGAGGAGGAGGAGGAGGACGAGGAGGAGGAGGAACTGCTTTGTCACAGCGCCCGCGAAAAAAAACTTAGCCAAGCATTTAAACGTGATAAAATATGAAGGTCGGGGGGCGGTGGCCTCTCAGGCCAACGGATCAATCCTCGACCCCCGCCCTCAACCGTGAAGGAAAATAGCAGCCTCCTCCTCCGCCTCGAGGCCTGGCTCTGGGGGCGCCTCTTGCGGCCCCTGGGCCTGTCCCCGAGATCCTTGGGATGGCAGCTTCTGCGAGGACCGCCGCTACGCTGGAGCCGCCACCGAAAAGGACCCTGGAACCATCCTGTCCTCCAGCTTGCTCGAAGGCGGCGATCCGCTGCCGCATGGCCTCGAACCCAGGGAGGAGTTGCCCTCCATCATGCGGGACAGGGAGGTGCACGGCTCGATGGCGCGGTTGCTGGGTCTGCAGCGGCCGCAGTCGATCTACCTCCGAGAGGATATGGAGGACCACCCCTGGGGCACGATTAGGGTGGGGATGGAGGCCTCGCAACATACGTCCGAATCGGCACTTCGTGGCCCGCAAAAAAAACCGTCCAGGGCGCACATTATCGAGGCGTCCGCTGATACGACCGGCGCCATATACGCCGCATCGCCGACAAAACACCAAAGAGAGACCGGTAGACAAACCAGTGAAAAACCAACGAATGGGACGTCGACTCGCGATCCCTCAAAGATGAGGAAGAGGAGGAAGAAAAGGTGGAGGAGGAAGACGATAAGGAGGATGACTAATGTAAACCCAAGAATAATCCACGATGTTTGGCCAATCGTCCCTCCACGCCCCCTCTTCATAGGTCCCTGCAAAAGGCAAATTTCCACTAAGGGGGCTGCCGCGCTGGATGACAACAGTTTGAAAACCTTGAAGCATGCCCAAACAATACCCTCGGGACTCCAGCACCACGGATCAACGTTGCTGCTGCGTTTTTACGATCCTAAATCGTGACCGAACGCCATTCCTGAGATTACAACTCCGCGAATCAACGCTACTGCTGCGTTCGTATAGTCGCCAAAACACGATTTCTGGTACGCTGGCCAAAAAAATCCGTGCGCGCGCGTTTAATGTGCGCGGCGCTCAAGCGAGAACCACATTTTTATATAAAAAAGAACCGCCGTCAATCCGAAAAGGTCTTGCGATTTGTTATAACGAGTGCGCGTGGCGCTGAGGCGAGAGCCACCATTTGAAAACGGCCCTCCCCCAATATGCGCAGCTAGTGCCAATCCCACCAGCCCTCTGGGCGCAGGTGGTTTAGGGAGCTTCCTCTTCCATGCCGCCTTCCTCCCTTTTGCGGGGAGGGTTTTCCCTGGGCGGGAAAGGGGGGGGGGGGGTGCGGGTAGTTGGGGCGCCCAAGATGACCCAAGACGGCTCCGAAAAGTCTTCAGAAAGCCCATGACACCCTCCAAGATGGCTCAAAATGACCCACGCTGCCGCAATACGGTTTCCAAAAGCGCTCCAAGAGGCCCTTCAGACAGCTCCAAGACGGCTCCAAGTGGCGGGACCTCCCGAACGAGGCCGCCAAGGTGCCCAAATCCTTCAAATAGCTTAGGACAACCAAAACCTCAGCGCTTCCAACGGCCCCCCAAGGCTTCCAGGCGGCCTGAAGACGGCCCAAAAGAGCCCCAAGAGAGGCCCACGAGAGCCCCAAAACAGCCCCAAGAAGGCTCCAAGACCGCCTTGAGAAGGGCCCTAATACATGACGCTCGAAGCTTTTAGTGGGGCACCGCTAATTAGTGACCCCCCCTCTATATTGGTCGACGTCCTTCAAGATAGCCCCAAGAGCGCCCTAAAACTCCCAGGCGCCCCAGGAGGCCCCAAGAGACGCCAAGACGGCCCCATGAGGCTCACGAGAGACCCCCAAGAGGCTTCGAGAGGATCCCCGAAGTACGCGAGAGAACCACCAAGACCGCCCACAACTTGTTTACATCAACGCCAGCGCCTCCGAACCCTTGGACTGACCCAAGTAGCGAGCCCGCAGCGGCGGGGGATGCTGGCTCCCCGAACGGCGACCCATTCAGTCTGAGTCGCCTGAATCAACGCCCTTTTGCCGGTCCACCTCGAAACGGGCCTGGCACGATATCTCTCTCAGAAAGTGGGCGCCTGGCCACTGCAGCTGAGTAGGCCCCCCTGTATTTAAAAAAAACTACAAGGAACCTCGTACCCCCCCCTGCGTGATATATGCCGAAAGGCCGGAGCAACCCCGACCGGACACCCCAGGACCAGGGGGCCCGAAGATGCACGCCCACTGGCCACTGAAAGCAGGCCAACGCGGGCGATCATGCAGGGGGGCGGAAGCCGGAAGGCTTACCACTCGCAGTCTCGTCAGCACGCGCACGCGTGGAGGCGGCATCGCTGGCTGTGCCAGCTGCTGCCGCGGCAGAGGCGGCGCACGCACTAGGCGAAGCTGCTTCTCCTGCGCCAGCTGCTTCTTGACCAGTATCACCTCCATCTATTTCACCTGCTTCGACGAGACGACGTCTCTTCAGTAACCGGTCTGCGTGGGCTGCATGCTCAGCTTTGATGGCATCCACTTTGGCCGTGGCCTGCGTAAACAATTACTTCGCCAATGTGCTGACGCCGCTCTTGAGCTGCTGCGCCCGAGAATCACATTCGTCTTGGTCGTCTGCCGATTATCGCATTCCTTCAGTTTGAAGATGTCGCCGAAATCGAAGTCGAAGAAGGAGGTTGGATTCGACTCGTCGAACAAGGACCTCAGCGGGCATACGAGGGACAGACGACTCCTGAGGCAATGTGGAGTGCAGCTTCTGAACCGGCTGCTCGTGATGCTCCTCAGCCTCAGCGAGCTCCGCCCGAAACTGCACAATATGATCTCGTTGAGCGGACAGCTGCTGCTCGAGAAAATTGACCTGGCCAGCCGCCTGCTCAATTATGTGCTCAATGGTCTTGGCACGCTGGTGGGCTCTATTGAGCTGGACGTGAGTGAATTCTGGGACTGACTTAGGCTCGGCGAGCGACTTGGCAGCCACACGGTGGGCAGCTGCTCCGACCTTGTCACCAAGCTTCTCGCACAATGTCGCCAACTGCAAATACTCCTCGGCAGACATAAGCGGCTTGGCCGTTTCAGCTGGTAAGCCCTCTTTGCCACCCTTGCCTCCTCCTTTGCCTCCACCGGAACCAGCAAATGTACCATGATCACCTGTGTGAGCTCCAACTGATGGAGGTCCTGCTGACCACGTCGAACTAACATCCGCCATGGAAGCCGGCTTGAGCGCACCGCAGCGTTTGCGGAAAGAGACCCTGGCTTCGTTTTTGCCGCGCCCGCAGAAAGAACACTTCCAGCGCTGCCCCTTTGGCGCTGCACCGCCCCGAGCGCCATCACCAGCAGGAAGGGCAGGCACTTGAGGACCAGGAGTGAGAGGCGGCCACGGGAACTCATACAGCATCTGGGGCCGACGAGGGGAACTGTCCGTGTTGCTGACCTCCAGAAGAAGCCTGCGGGGCCGAACTCCACGCACGGCGCCACGGGGCCCAAGAGACCCTGCCTTTGCCGCCGCCGCCTGAGCCCCCTGCCATTGCTGCCACCAAGACGGCCGAAAGGGCCCACAAGCTCGCCTCTGTTCTCCCTCGTCTTCTTCTCCTCCTCCTCATTGTCCGCCTATGTATCCACCTCCCTCTCCCTCCTGCCCGTCCCCCATATCCTCCTCACTCTTCCCCCTCCCCTGCAAACCCCATCCACTTCTTCCTCCGTTTTCCCTCTCCCCCACATTCTCCCCCTCCTCCGATTCCTCCCCCATCTTCCCCTTGTTGTCGCTTGACGGCACCCCCCGTCCTTTGTTTCTCTGTGTGTGTTCAACACCCCCTTGATCAAAACAACTCTTTCGAACACAGTTGCTGGAAGGCTGACGAACCAACCCCGATAGTCGGTACTCTTCGTTCGAGTGGCGATTAGACATGGGCTGTTGGGGACTCGCGAAGCGTCAGCGAATTTTCAGTTTCAGAGTCAGCCCGCCCTTTCGGCGGGCCTCGGGCTGCGACAGGGAAGCGTTGCGCAGCCCCCCGCAGTGTGTGGGGGCGGCGGGGGCGCCGGCTGTCAGCGAGGCTCTGAAGAAGCCCGCCGCAAGCGCCTAATTTTCAAACCAGACAACGAGCCCGCCGCAGGCGCCGATTTTTGTTAAAACAATGTGGGTGGGTCGCGGGTTGGGTCGCAAGTGGGTCGCGGGTGGGTCGACGGCGGGTCGCGGGTGAGTCGCGGTCCGGGTGGCGGGTGGCTCGCGGGTGGGTCGACGGTGAGTCGCGGGTGTTTCGCGGGTGGGTCGCGAACGGGTCGCGGGGTGGATCGCGGGTGGGTCGCGGGGTGGGTCGCGGGTGGGTCGCGGGCGGGTCGCGGGGCGGGTCGCGGGGCGGGTCGCGGGCCAGGTCGCGGGGGGGGGGGGCGACGCAACAAAACGAGCATAATCCTTGCCGTGGATCCCCACTTCAGCCACGCACCCAAGGACAAACATTACCGTTCGGCCCCCTCACTCTGATTTATATCGAAACGGAATGGAGGAAGACGACTAAAAATTAGATTCGACTCTGCGCTGCGCGCTCAATCTAATCTGTCTCAGGACATTGACCTGCTTGGCCAACTTCGTGTGGCCTGGGGCTCGTCCTTTCTCAAGCGCCCTGTGATACTGCAGGCCCGCGCGCGTGGGGGCCTGGCATTCCGAAACGAGCTTGCCCGTGGAGCGGTAGTGGTCGGTGCCGGGCCCTCCACACCTCGAGCAAGCGAAAATGCGCTCCTTCACCGTCCCCGCCCCCGCCTCCCACCAACGCATAGTGTGAGAGGGATGCGCAGAGACGCCTCTCCGACTCGGCCCCACCTCCCGCGGGGCACTCGAAGCAGGGCCTACAATGAGAGAGGGGTTGCACGGAGACCGGAGCCATTTAATTACAGCACCCTTCTCCCTTGAGGGGGGCTCCGAGGAACATTTACGACAGCGCCACTGCCAACGCAGACGACCCTCGACCCTGGAGCACTCCAAAAGGTGGGCCGTGCAGGGAAACTCCGAGGCCAGATCCAGCTTCTTCCTGATAGGTCCCTGGGCGGCAGCTCTGGAAACTCCCCCCTCTGGGCGGCGCGAAGGCATCGAAACCAAAATGCAAGACAAACGGGCGCGGATGGCCTTGGCCTCCGTCTCGAGCTCCAGGAGGGAATCAGCTGCCGCGCTCGGGGCCTGCGCGGCTGGACAGTACCTGTCAGCTAGCTTATCAGCCAGCTCGTTGAATTGAAACAAAGCCTTCAAATCATCTGACGCTCGCTCGAACTCGGAAGCGGTCGCGCGGCTAGCGACCTCGACCGCGAGGACGTCCCGGGCCCCCCAGAGCTCTCGGACGAGGTGCCAGGGGTCCCGATTCGTCTTTGGCCTCCAATGGGCCTTCGAGCGCAGACAGAACGCACCTCGCTGGACGTGGGCGCTGTCAGTAACATACGTCAGGTCCTTGCCTGGGGTAGCCAAAAGGGCCTCCTTGAGGGCAAACAATTCACCTCGGTTGATTCCCTGACGCGGGCCGGGGATGGCCCCACCAAAAGCTCCAAAAGCACATGAAGGCAGAAGCACCTCCCTGGGATCAGCCCCGAAGGCAACAGAGACAACTGACCAGATGATACGACGCAACTTAGCGTGACTAGAGCGCTTCCCCCCAGACGCGCCCCCGCTCAGCCAAACCCTCCCGCCCGCGAGGAGGGCCCCCAGCAGGTTGCGCGGGATCGCACCTGGCACAGGGAAGCTTGGCGGGTCGATCCGCGGGTCTAGCTGGATGTGTAAATTGTCTGGTGGCTCTGGGATAGCCGTCCATTCTCTGGGGATGAGGCCTCGGAGCCAATAGCAAGGATGCGACTGAGCACCTTGAACTGCTTGGCCCTTTAAATGCTGCGCGTCGGCGCAGCGAGGAATTTCATCATTGGCAATGCAGGCCCAGCAGCGGTGAAGGTCGGTCTCGGGCTCAACCTCGCAACGCGGACACAAGATAGAGTCGACCTTCATCCCCGCCTGGGAGAGCCGAGCTTCGGGCCAGAAACCTGCAGTCATGACCGTGCTGAGGGAACCTCGGAACTTGTTGGATCCCTTCTTGGCTACAGCACGCATCATTTTTAGAATATCTGCGGTTTCGGCTCTCTGCTCCGGTCCCCCCCCCCCCCCCCATTATGATGCTTAGCAGCGTGTGCCCAGACGGAGAGCCTCAAGGTGTCTCTGAAGACCTCCAAGAAAGGCTCCCAGTCAGGGTCCGAGCCGACAGTATCTTCACTCACCTCATACTTATCACCAGTAGGGTGGGCCCACTTCCACGGTCCCTGGGGGCCCCAGCCCGCGGAGAGCAAAACAGAAATCGTGCCCGAGATCAGGCCGTTCACCTTCCTCCACTGGCGGTTCTGAAGGGTGGCGCGCAAATTCTTCAAAATGATCGGCCATGCTCTGGCCGCACTCTTCCTGAAAGCTTCTGGCGAGGCGAGCATTTCAAACCGCAAAGTGATGGTGGCCGTGGGCAGAGAGATAGCGGGGTCCTGGTCCCCGTAGTCAATGTGCAACGCCGTGGTCAGACATCTACCTCGAGCCTTCGAGGTTGCGAAACGACCGAGGGACCTGCGGAGCTGGAAGAGGGGCTCGGGGAAGAGGGGAACGACCTTGGTGCGATAGCCAATCCTAGGGATGATGCCCGCGGTGGCAATCCGGCGAGCAGCGCGAGAGCCTGGCGTGCCACGAGCGATCTTGTTCAACTTCGGAGCCTGTCATGAAGCCAGCTTTTTCCTCGCGCGATGCTTTGAGGCCTGTTGTAAACGGCGGTGGCCTCTCTCGATGCCGAGGTCAGCAGCAGCTCCGAGATGTTTAACCTGTAGGCCGAGGTGAGCTTTGCTGCGAGGACCCTGTCGGGAGCAATATCAGCCAACCTGTCCGAAAGCTGAAGACCGTCGGCAGAGATTCCCGCAGAAAACTCCATGGCCGCCTCCGTGAAGGATTTGACGACTGCCTTGCGAGGCCCCTCATGACGGAAATTCGCATCGTCGACCCAGGATTTGGCGACGAGCCCCTTGGGGAAAAAGGCCAGATGGACCGAGTCCAGGACAGGGAAAAGAAAAGCCGCGGCACCGTTTTTTTTTGCAATCCCACAACCTGCTAGCATCCCTGATGAGGCCAGGATGGGATCGCTGCAGGAGGAACGCTCTCTTAAAACCCGCGGGCCCAAGCACAGCTGGGCCGAGAGGAGAAGGACCGTGGGAGAATGCCTTCGGTCCAAGCACCTGTGCATGAGTAGGCCTACATCAAGGGAGTCATGAACTTCTTTTATGTCAAACAAAATGCTGGCGTGTGAAATCCCGATGGCACCTGCTGCCTCGTCCATGAAATGCCTGCCTACTGCCGCCCTGAGGGCGCTGCTGCCTCGAATGGCCTCGCACCAGAAGCCCGCCTCCCCCCCCAGCCGACCCCGCGAGATCTGATTGCGGAGGAGACTCCAAAGCCTGGGCGACCAGCACAGAAGGGCTATCGCCCGTTGGCCGCCAGAGTCCTTAGGCAGGAGGCCGATGGTAGACGGTAGCAGCTGCCATGGCCAGGCCAGATTAGACTCAGCCGCGTGGAAAACCTGCAGCAGCTCGGTTTGGCCCTGGGGCCCCAGCTCCTGGATGTCCCGAGGGCCGAGGTTCTCTATCCCACGACCAGTCTGGACAGGGATTTGCCGCAGGGCCCCTTGGAGATGCCCCAGGGTGGGCGCTGGGTTTTTTGTTCCTCCCAGAGGCGCGGCCTCGCTGGAAAGCCGACTCGACCCTCTGCCAGGCAGAGCTTAAATCAGGGGCCGTCCATTTTGCAGCCCATCGGGACCTACGAAGGTCCATCAGCTCGAGCGGTGAACCTGTCACCCCCTCATCGGAAATCAGCTCCGAGGTGACCTTAGCCTTGGGCTTGGAGCACGGCGGAGGTTTCCAACCGTGTCCGAAAGAGATTCCGCTACCCAAACCTTGAACTCAGCATATGAAGCTCTGGCTGCTGCCTGCTTGGCCTGGGCCGCAGTGGCCCCCGCCGTTTCACGAAGGGCGCGCCGCTCCAGAGACCCCAGCTGCTGCGGATCTCGGAGCCAGATCTTCCATGACAGAGCAGCCGCTGGCTCAAATGCCAAAGAGGACCCAGAAGGGGACTGAGTGCGCCCTCTTGGGGAGCCTTGAAATACCTTCCTTGCCATGTGGCGTGGGGTCTTTGCCGGGGTCTGCCCTAATAGCAGACTGCTCCCCGATGGCGGCCAGGGTGGCCACCTCGGCCCACCGACGGGCCAGCGGGTCCGAAAACCGAGAGGGCTGGTCCCTTCGGGTCATTTTTGAAACGGTGGGCCCCTGAATGAAAGCGCGGCCAGAGTAAAACTTGTGCTGCTCCTGAAGCAGCTGGTATATGTCGCAGAAGAAACGTTCAAGTCGATCGACCCAGCTCGAAAAGAGACCACCAAGCGCCGCAGATTGGGTCGAGAGCCTGAAGGCCCAGGAGTCCTGGATGAAACTAGGGATCGACTTGGCAGAAAGGCTGGCGGGGCTCAGGTCACTCCAGCGGGCACCCCTCTCGGCGCCCGTCAAGGTGATCTGCTCGAACCCCTTCTCGGCGTGGTCAGGTTGTGGAGGCAAGCCTCCCCGCCCTCGATGTGCAAGGGCGGGGTCGTCTTCAGCGGGTGTTACGTGCAGATCGTTGGTCCAGGTATGATTTGCCAAGTTACTGATGTTCTTAACCGCTACGGGCGCCAGTGGGGGCGAGAAAGCCGCGCCCGTTGAAGAGCACGGCGTAGCAGCAGCTGGAAGCTGCTGCGGTGAAACCGTAGGAGCAGACGGGGTAGCCACGTCGAACTCCTCATCCAAATCAATCTCGCTTAGTATATCCATACCGTCAAAATCAACTTCGGCCTGATCCATCAGGCTGGGAATCGCAGGTTGCAGCCCAGGTCGCACACCGCAGCCATCTCCTGGCCCTGGGTCATGAGCAGGTTCGCCGCCAGCGGCGGGAGCGAGAACAGCGCGGGGAGGGCCCAGGGCCACGATCTGAATCACCTCGTTGCAGCTCCTGGGCGAGAGTCCTTTTCCATGCCTGGGTGTGGGTTGCTCTTGTCAATCACCATCACCCAGGTCCTGCGAGGGTGCTGTGTGCTCCAGACGACGCGATGCTCCCTCCTTGGTACGATTAGCCTTGCGCCTGGATCGCTTGCTGCTGGGACCAGGGCCTCGCATGGGCCTTGGTGGGTGCGGGAAACGTCGAGGCTGCGGCAAAATACGAATCTGTGCCAAACGGGTGCCGACCCGAATCTTGAACCAAATACCCTTGTGATCTCCTGAAGCCTCGTCAGCGTTGCATGTGGGTTCCAGGCCCATCGCAGAATCTGGTATCAAACAGAAATCGAGGAGGTCGCATGGCGCGCGATTGTACGTCCAAATAGTTTTCGTTGGGCTTAGAACACATCCTCCCAGGGGATCTGGCCATTCGGATCTCCTCAGGTCTGACGGTGGCACATTCCAATCCGCTGCGACAGCCCAAGGCATCTGCGAAATCCTGGGGACCGCCCCTAGGTTCGTGAGGTTCTCTGCGTTGACGCCCATGAGCTTCTCCCCAGGCGTGATATAGAGGGCGACAAATATGAAGTCCATGCCCCCCGTCAGCTCGACCGCCACGGGTGCGAAATCCCAGAAATCGATGGGGCCGCCGCCTTTTTCAGAAGGCCGTCAAGGCGGCCAGCGCCCACCTGCTGTTCATCAATACGACAGATATCCTTGAAAGAGTGGCTCTTGATGTGGCGCCTCACTCCAGTGATGACACCACCAGCTCTCTTGACCGAACGAAAAGTCCCCGGAGGGCGATAACTGCTTTCCAACCGCGCTGATCCATGGCATCGACGATGGCGTGAGAATCCTCTGTTTGTGGGTCTCAGCAAAGCCCACAACATCCGCGCCTGAAACTCCACCCATGATATCATTGAGGGTTGACGGCCCCCAAGTAGTAATGTTCTTGATATATAGGAAAACGACGAGGAGGAGGAGGAGGAGGAGGAGGAGGAGGTAGAGGAGGGGAGGGGGATGGGGAGGATTAGGAGGAGGAGGAGGAGGAAATGGAAGAGGACGAGGAGGATGAGGAGGAGGAGGAAGACGATGAGGAGGTAGAGGGCGAGGAGGAGGAGGAGGACAAGGACGAGGAGGAGGGAGGAAAAGGAAGACGAGGAGGAGAAGGAAGATGAGGAGGAGGAGGAGGAGAGGGAGGAAGGAGGAAATGGAGGAGAACGAAGAGGAGGAGGAGGAGGAGGAAGAGGAGCACGAGGAGGAGGAGGAGGAGGAGCAAGAGGAGAAGACAGAAGAAGAGGAGGAGGATGTAAGGCGGAGGAGGAGGAGAAAAAGGACGAGGATAAGGATGATAATGATGATGACGAGGAGGAAGGAGGATGATAACGAGGAGGAGGAGGAGGAGGAGGAGGAGAAGAGCAGGCGAGGCGCAGACGAGGAGGGGAGGATAATGGGGAGAGGAGGAGAGAAGGGGGAGGAGGAGCGGGATGAGAGGATGGGGGAGGAACAGGACGGGAGGAGGAGGAGGAGGAGAAAGGAGGAAAAGGATGACGAGAAGAAGGGGGAGGAGGATGAGGAGGGGGACGAGGAGGAAGAGGAGGAAGAGGAGGAGGCGGAGGATGAAGAGGAGTAGGAGGAGGAGGAGGAGGAGGAGGAGGAGGAGGAGGAGGAGGAGGAGAAGGAGGAGGAGGAGGAGGAGGGGATGTGGGGCAGGAGAAAGGGGAGGAGGAGGAGGAAAAGGAGGAGGAAGAGGAGGAGGGTGAGGATGAGGGGGAAAAGGAGGAGGAGGAGGAGGAGGAGGAGGAGGAGAAGGAAGAGGAAGGAGAGAAAGAGGAGGATGAAGGCAGGAGGTGGGGGGGGGAAGAGGATGAGGAGGCGGCCCGCGGCGGCGAAGCGGTAACGAGCCGAATCGATAATGAACCCCGACAAACCTCAGCAACCGAAATGAACTTCGAATTTGCACGACCTACCGTGCGCGGCATGCTGCTGCGAGCAGGCTCCAGCGGCGGGCACCCCGAGTCACCGATAGCTCGACACGAGTGTGTCCCCGGAGGGGCCACCGACGCACCCTGGGGGGTTCCACGGAGGAAGAACAGGGCGACGGAGGGACAGAGCCAACGCTGAGGAGGGGGGGGAGGAAGGGGAGGAAGTGGAGGAGGTGGAGGAGGAGGAGGTGGAGGGAGAGGAGGAGGAGGACGAGGGAGAAAACGATGAGGAAAACGGGGAGGAGGACGAGGAATAATGATAATGGCGAGAGCGTAGCAGCTCGCAGCCCCCCAAGGGACTGCGAGGTCTCATGGTGGTCTACGTGAGACCCCACCCTGCGGGCACGGCCTCTCAAGTGCCCGCGTAATAAACTGCGACAGTGTCACAGAGCGAAGCCTCGCAGGGACGGCGAGGCCTCGTGGTGGTCTGCGTGAAACGTGATCCCCAGGAACCCGCGAATCTGGCGACGTCTTCGCACATCGCAGCCCCCCAGGGACGGCAAGGTCTCACGGTGGTTTGCGCAAGGTCGCGACAGTTGCGCAGTGTGCGGCCGCCCGGGGGGCAGCGAAGGAGGAGCCAAGAGGAAAACAGGTGCGGGAGAGGAAATGGTGGAGACAGCAATGCGTGACTCAAACGGAGAACCCAACGCAAGAGCGCTGGGAAACAGAAGCAAATTGCCCGAGACGTACCCAAACCCTTCTACACGCGAGGCGACTGCCCCGTGAACTCTGCACGCGTGAGCGAAATCGTGGGGCGCGCGAAACTCGGGAGAGCGCGCCGCGAAACACGGGCGGACAGCGCGCCGCACCTGCGCAGCGTGGACGGGGGGGGGCGGGGCAGGAACGGAGGAGCCGGAGGAGGGCGGAAGAGGGGGGGTGGAGGGCGGGGGGGGGGGAGGGCGAAGGGAGGGGCGGACAACGCTGCCGCAGGCCACGGCGCCAAGCGCTGCATCTGCCAGGCTCGA